ATCCACATACTATAAAACCAAAAGCCCTGATTTGAAGACTCCTCGGGAAAAATAATGAGTGTCAAAAGGTGATTAAGGAGGTAAGGGAAAAACAACTTTTTATAGTTTAAAAGTCTGTATTTCTTTCATTTTATGGTATTTGTATAAATATTGAAACAACCTATTATTATATAAACATATGTTTTTACTTTACTTAAATATATGCTTTAGTTTTATATTATCGTAATTAAAGTCAAAAGTATGAAATTAGTGAATAAACTCCATAGCACAAACAATCTAAGTCATTGCATTCTTGGTTGTAATAAATGTAATTAACATTCATTATTAAAAATTATTATAACTCAATTTTTTAAAGTAACTTAAAAATAATTAACATGCATTCAAACAATTACTTATTCAAACTTATTACCATGACAATAATTTCATTTAAACTTAATTTTTTTAATTTCTTTTTAACATTATGTATAAAACAATCACTTGTTTAAACTTTATAATAACAGTAACTTCTTTTAAATTAATTTGTAATAAAATTTAAAGCTTATGTATCGAACATCACAGAAGTCTTAAACAAGTCTTGTTTATGACTTCTTTTCTTGAGCGTTGTTGCTTTACAAGATTCATTGTTATCATGGACGCTAGAAATTATTTTGTTCATTTACCGTTTTGAATTGCTTAAAATGACTAAGGAACAGCTTTCTCTCTGTTTCCCACACATTTTTAAACCACTCTAATCGGTTATTCTTCCTTTACGTATTGTTTTTCCGCTCATGCGATTTAATTTCATATTTAATTTAATTGCATATTTTCATTGCTACTCGACATTGCTTTTTCTTTAAAAAATATTGCTAGACAAATACCTACAATACGACAGAATAACATTGCAATTGCACTATAACTTTGTGATATACACCAAATCTCACTAAGCAAGTTTCGTGTGCTTGTTCACAACAAATTGTTAAATAAGTAGGTAGTATAAGTGGTTACGTGTTTTTTGTTTCTGTTTTCGTTTGTTTCTTTTTTACTGTTAAATGGTTAGACATTATTTATTTATTATTCTTTAATCTTAATATAGGTACTTAATTACGAGTTTTCAGTTATTGCATGAGGTGCTTACCAGTAATTAACTGTTGCACTCAGTCTTTAAACATTGTTATGTATTTCTCTAGCTGTAGTTTTAGTGTAAGCAGTTGTTGGTGAACCAATAAATTAAAAAAAAAATTAAAAAAATAACGAATTTACTAAAAAAATGCGCGCACGCACGTCAACTGTCAAATTGACAAGGACGGTTTTAGTCGTTCGGCGCGCGGACATTCCCTGATTCTTGCGCTGGGTGAACAGATAAAAATTTAACTATTACAGTTGACTACGATGGTTTTACCCAATTCTAATTACTGTATAAAAATAATACACCAAAAAGTCAAAAGATGGCATTAAAAGGCCAGTTTCTTTAAAAAAGTGACATTCGTTGTTTTTCCCGTGGAATCTTCATTTGTAACGGGTCTACCGTTACAAATCAGGGCAAATCATTCTAAACTGGTCCCAAGAAGTATTTACTAAGCAATAATGTGGAGGAACTTATCGAGATAAAAAAACCGACCTCAAAAGTCATTCATCCTTTAGTTTGCCACCCTTAGAGGTGGAATATTTTCTTGAAATTTAAATAGGACTACATCCTTCCAGGGTACCTTCTTTCCAACAAAAAGGAATCATCAAAATTGGTTCACAAATGGCGGAGTTATCGCGTAACATAGGTACATACAAAAAAAAACATACAGAGGAATTGAGAGCCTCCTCCTTTTTTTGAAGTCGGTTAACAATAATCCTGTTGGACGACATTGACAAGATTCAGCAACATCTCCCAATTTATTTTAAGACGCATTAACAGCATTTTTAAGTAAATAAAACAAAGAACAGCAGTTCGTAACTTATTTCAAAACAGAGTGTTTTTCAATTCAAATTGGTACTTACCTAGGCGCTGCTGAAGTTTCTCCGGCGACAAACAAAGGTCTTGAATATTTTAATACAAACATAAAAGAGAGCAACACTTTACGAAAATGCCTTCCACTGTCTCGATTTCTAGTTGTTGCAGTAGATATGGTCAAATAATGAAAAAATCAATCATATACAGGAATAATTTCAGAGCAAACCCTTGATAGAACTAAAAGACTGGACGCATGCCTATCAATGGGCAATTAACAAAAATATTAATATTTATATAGTTACAAACTCAACGGCACACAGGGTCCAATTTGGACGAAATTGGAACACTTTCGACGAGTACAAAAGGTTGCTTTTATTTATTAGAGAGTTGTCACTTCCACGGAACAAAGTGTATGATTTAATGTCAAATAAAATTGCCCTGATTTTTTTAGAACTGTACATATGAAAACATGTTGCTAGGCTTGCATCATGCTCAGGTGTGCGCACCACCCGCAGACCGGCCAAAATGTTGTTGCCGGACAGAAAAGAAAGCGTCGACATCCTACTGATGCAAGATCGCATTAATAACTCAATAAAATATTTATTTATTTATTTATTCATTTGCATTGGTAGACACGTTTCATTTAAAATGTTACATGCACCCGATAAGGGTATAACAAATGATTAGTCTTAATATAAACTAAAATTAAAAATTAATAATACAATTTGAATACAAGAATTAAAATTATTAATAATACAGTTTGAATGCAAGAATTAAAATTAATAATACAATTTGTTGAATGCAAGTTAATGGTTTACATAAGGGAAGCAATATCACTTAAAAGTATCTTCAAAATATTCATTAACTGAGTAATAGCATTTCTGATTTAGTGATAATTTGAGTTTATTACAAAATGTGGAGTTTCTATCTATTGTTTTTAATGTGTCAGGTAATTTGTTATATCTTTATTACTGCTCTATAATGTGGGCTACTTCGATACATTTCGATACGGGGTGTTGGTAAGACTAGGTTTGTATTTCGGTGATCACTTTTAACAAATTCAATATTTTTCCTTACAAATTTTATTGCTTCCATTAAATATATACAAGGAAGTATGAGTACATGTTCTTTTATAAAAATTGGTTTGTAGCTATTTCTGGGTCGGATATTATAGATTATACGAATACACTTTTTTTGTATAATAAAAGGATCTTTGGCGTCAGTGCTGCGGCCGCATAACAAATTTATAGTATATTATATTTAATTAAAATATTGTCTGCATTTCTTATTTTAAACTTTAGAGCCGATTTTCTTGTAAGCAATTAATAAGATTCGAACTAAGTTAAACCTTTACTTGCAATTAAATTGTATTGAAATTTTAAATGTAATAAGACTTTGCCGTAATGTTTGTGTGCAATTTTTTTTTTCTTCTTTGATCTTTGAACAATTTATATTAATTACACTATTGTGCCAAATAAAATGTTACATTACGATAAACTATAAATAAAAACTAGTTCCGATAAAAAATATTTCAGTAAAACATGTTACGTATGTTTCTGATAAATTTGAGGTCATACGTTTGTCGTTTGTCAGTTGTCAGAAATATTAGACATGTATTTCGATATGATATGCTTTATGACAAAATGTTACGCTTGAAATTAAAATCATAATGCTAAATTAATTTCTCTAAGTAAAATGGCAAATTTTGCCATATTTTTAGTAGTCTATTTGGTGAGCAGTACCTACCGCATACTGCCCAAAATTTTTTAATTTGAAATTTGGCAGTTGTTGGTGACGCAATTATTATCTAAGAAATAATAACAGCTTAGATTAGTCTTTGTGAAGAGTAATTCCATTATGCCTTTATCTGAGTTGACTCATAATTAAAATACCAATAGTGTTCCATGTAATTTTCTATATCTTGAAATAATTCAATATAATATGCAAACAGTTCAATAAAAGTAGATAAATACTTATTTAGAAAACGTGACAAATACTCGTATATAGTGGTGTAAAAAACTCGAGACTGGGAGTCTACATTTTAAGACTGGACTCTAATTCACAAGACTCGACTCATAAAGACAGAGAGACTCCACTGCTGTATTACGAGCCAATAGACTCAAGTTCGACGTTAGTGCTCGAGTCTATTTATATAACGAGTCACGCTCAAGTTCGAGTCTGTTTCGGTAACGAGTCGAGCTTGAGCCTGGTAAGTACCCACTGAGCGGTGTTGTAGTGTGGTGTGTTAAGCTGTAGTATAACTACTGTGGTGTAATTAAGTATTATCTCTTATCTATCTTCTTTTTTTCTTAAATAACTATTTTGGGTTTTTGGTTTCTATTTAATTCGTTGGCAATAGTAATTGTCCAGTAAAACTGAACCACGCTTATCGTGCTCCAGAATTTGTAGAGTAGAAGTCGGAAATCGAGTTTCCGAACTCGAGTTTTGTACAAAACTAGACTTAAATGTGCGACTAGACTTCTTTTTAGACTCGAATCCGTGCTCCGATGACTCGCGCTCGACTCCGACTCGTGAGTGTTTCAGGCCACCTAGCCGTATAAAATTGAGTCGAGTTTATAAATGCAGACTCCCGGACTCGAGTTTTTTACAACACTGCTTGTATAATCTGTCTTTATCGGTCAACTCAGACTTTACTACGTTGCTCTTGGTTATTACTCTACTTGCGTACAGTCAAGCAATCAATAACACATTTATCTTTGTTTCAAGAGCAAGATTTATTACGTTACGGAGTAGTAGTACTGATTGTAAGGGTACGGAAGACATATCGTATTATATTGACAAATTACAAATTTCCTGAATTCGAAGAAAATATTCCTAGCTTACGTCCTCTGTCATTTAATGGATGGAGATACCTCCATCCATTAAATGACAGAGGACGTAAGCTAGGAATATTTTTTCGACCATGCCTGCAATTCAGAATATGAGTCAGTCTTTTTACCGACACATTATTTTTGTTTGCTTATTTCTCTATCTTCTTGAAGCGTAAGGCGGTGGTGGTTGATTAACAATGAGAGTAGTAGCTGGTGTTGCGTGATGGTGATAGTGAACTACTCTTCGCGGGGGTTCGCCGCAGCAGTCGCAGCAGAGGCAGGGTATACAGCAGCAGCAACAGGGCCGACACGATATGTTGCACCCCATTCTTGAATAGAAAAGTTATAGGGATAATTTTGGAGAATAAGTAACAGTTTATTCAAGAAACGAGAAAGTGGAATAAAAATTTAATAATGAACAAGGTAAAGTAATGCAAGCAGTTTCTCATATAGTTTTGTTTAACATTCGGGCTAAGCGAACTCTTGGGGGCGGTGATGTGATACCATCGAGTATATAACCAGAAATAGAGACGATATAAGGGCCATCCATACCTGGCAACTCATCATCGGGCCAATTGGCCTAATATCACTTTTAAATATCAACTCTCGTTTGCACTGAAATCATGAATTAGAAAGCTCAAATAGTACAGCGCCAATAACTGACCTGTGTGTACGTTTCCGTATGTTCCAAAAATATTCTATGTTTATTGTAACAAATATAACATCTCTAACTATGGGGGGCTTTTCCATTCGGTGATATGGGAAAAACAGTAAAACATCTAATTACAAAAGAAACGGAATCACATTTCATCGGTAATTAAATATGTAATTTTCAATTTCTGTCCATTATAGCGAAGCTCAAGTTAAACTGGTCGATTTGAAGTAAAACAATTGAAGACACCCGTCAATTATTTCGATTCGGGCTGGCCAATCGGAGAAAATCATTTGGCGGAAAAGTTTTCAAACAAATTAAATGACGTTTCATCTCTATTTCTGGTTATATAATCGAAGTATGGTAAGACTAGTCGAAGAGCGGTTGCTTCTCAATATAGACTTTATACCTATTTTTAATCTCTATGGTACATAAATTTGTGAATGTTTAAGAGTAGTACCTCGCGCTTATCGTGAACATTGAAGTATAATGACGTACAATATGAAGAAGAAAAAAAGGTTGATGAGCCCTTAATTTTCTTAAAATCACTGGTCGTTGTAATTCCATCGAAATCCACTGAGATTATATATATATATATATATATATAGCAATTATGATAATATGTGTTATTCTGCTAAAACTTAGTTGCAATGGCGGTTGAGTCTTAGCATTCGTATAAGTTCCGAATCCGAGACTATACAAATGCAGAAAACTCGGACCCACTTCGTATGTCGCTTGTGCACTAAGTCCGATGCGAACTCGAGAAAATACGAATATCGCTTCTACAACTAGAGATAAAATTATCACTGTGACATTTCGGACCGTCATTTCTCGGATACGGAACTGACAAGAATCGGACGTAATACGCAAACGCTCTTAGTAAAGAGTCAGTGAAATAGCAGTGATGAGATTCATTCATTAAATCCTTAACAATCGATGTTGCCTAAAACAACCTTGGAAATCACTACGCATATCTTGATTTTCATCTCGTTTAATCAATTTAGTATTTAAATCAAATATATTTTTTTAAGTCAAATAATTAGTAGAATACGCCATCGACGTGCACTGATGCACTCGCTATTAAAGAGCAGATTAACTCTCACTCTCTCTTCTCAGCCTAATTACCGTAGCCATTTCGGCGTCCTCAGCCTAACTACCGTAGCCATTGTTTTTTCTGGTTTAATATACCCAATAGCATTGAAATATGAACAACTTTAAACTTAACTATCAATATGTCTATAAGGCTTTAAATAGACAAAGTAGTTTTCGAGGCACTCCGGGGAAACAGTACCTACTGACATTCATAATACATTTATGCTACAAAAAAGTGTGTACGAATACTATGCAATATCAAAAACCCTGAATGTTGCCAATCGCATTTTAAAGAACTGGAATCTTAATACTAACATGTAGGTATTTTATATTACTGAAAGTTGCATATTTGTAAGAACAAAATCCACAGTTTTTTACAAAGTTAAAAGACCAAAGACGACGCTTTGAGACGCGATTTAAAAATAACTTGGCTTACTGACAGGATCAAAACTGAAATTACATAACAGTAGCCCAAATTCAATGGTACTAAAAATTATAATAAATTAAACGATCAATCAAAAAATAAACAATGTGATAAAAAAATTTATAAAGTTCTAAAGCAATTTCTACTAAATACAAATGCTTACTTCTTAGCAGAACACTTTAATGATTAGTAGTTTCTTATTATATTTAATAAAATTAATAGATTGATAATTAGATTAAAGAATTGTAATTGATTAAGACTTCAATCTGTCTCTGTCTCCAGACATTGCAACGTCCTTCTGGGTTTCATATGTTTGATTAGTACCATAGAATTAAGGATGCATACATGTGAATTGCAATAAATAAATAAATGAATGAATAAAAAATAAATATATATAATTTGCAGACCTGGGCCCCAGGTAATAATTTAAAATATTATTTTATAGCCGATAGAAGGGAAGATAGAGTTGTTCACCGTGTCACAATTAAATATCTATTGAATTAAAATATTATAGCCCAGAACTTTTGCATTGTAGGTAATAAACATAGTTATACAAATATTACACTACTAATTAATTGTGTTTACGAGTGTTGAGGGTACTGTATATTATTACTTATTATTAAGAACATACGTACACATTGTAAATTTTAAAGTAACCTTGGTTGCAATTCAATAAATGAACAAATAGTACGCATGTTACCTGTCTAATGTCTCAGCTACTTTAGGCAGCACTGTTCCACTAAACACTTCTAAATCAAGTGTGCATTTGCCATAACACCTTCAGGTACCAAGGCAAAACTAATCTTATCGTGTTCTAAAGATAGTGCAATAAATAACTCATCTAGTATTGTACAAATAAGGATATGAGTTGTGGTGACACTACAAAGCCAACACGATATAATGCAACTTTATGTCACAGGTGACGGGGGCAGTGGCAGTGCCTCTCAGATCTTTGCGATACAAAGCTCTGAGTGACACTGCAACTGGTATTGATAGGCGTGTCGCGTATCACCAGGCGCACGGCCTGTTCGTCCCGTCACTTTATGTCATGAAACAAATAAAAAATAATAATACTAACCTTATTTACAAAAGTAACTTTTTATCTAGGTTGGTTGTATCCTCCGTATCCAGGTTGTGGCGGGTACCCAGGGTATCCTCCGTCGGGCGGTGGAGCGTATCCAGGATAGCCACCGTTGGGTGGTGGAACGTATCCGTGTTGCGGCGGGTACGTGGGGTATCCTCCGTCGGGTGGTGGAGCGTAGCCATGTTGTGGCGGGTACGTAGGGTATCCTCCGTCGGGTGGTGGAGGGTATCCATGTTGGGGCGGGTACGTAGGGTATCCTCCGTCGGGTGGTGGAGGGTATCCATATTGCGGCGGATGCGTAGGATATCCACCGTCGGGCGGTGGAGGGTGTCCAAGATGCGGCGGATATGGAGGGTGTCCTCCGTCGGGTGGAGGCGCTTGTTGAATAACTATTGGCGGATGTGTGGGGGCTTGATTTCCCATCGCGCTAACGCTATACATAAAAAAAATATATCAAATGTTACTCAGGAATACTTTTTTAATGCGCTACTTATTTTAGTCCTTCGAAATACTTTTGATAGAACAATACAACTACGGAACAATATTTAAAATTGTATGGTGCGTTATCATTTAACAAACACTTAATCGTTATTTTATCAGAATTTTATCGTTAATGATTGGAAGTATTTGGCACAATATCACTTTTTAAATGTAAGGAACGTGACAATAAAATGTTTTCAAGTATTGATAATGTGTAAAGTTTTGAAAGATAAGAACACCCCACTTGTTTATTAGTAGATATTCTGTGCAACAGTCCCGATGAATAATAGATAGCTCTGCTGCCACGTAGACGGAGATTACTAAGAAAAGGGATATTTCTTGAAGAATTATTTACCACGAACTATATAATCAATTATTAATAATGAAAAATCGATGCCGGAACTACACAAATTAATTTAATGGTGGTACTCCTGACTAGAATTTCAATATCTATTTTATGGGTGCAGTGTTGTATTGCAGAACTAGGTTTTAAGAAATATAGTATTGTTTATGTATACACTAGGTATTACGGTTACTAGTGCGTATACGAAAACATAGTATTGACGACTTATTTGTGTACAGTTCACCTTGAACAACCTATACAATATATTACAATATGTACTCACAAAATAATGAACAAGTGAACGGTCTTTATTTTTTTAATAATATTAAGTGACAGGATGAACAACAACAACACACTATTCACACAGTCCACAATTACAAGCACAAAACCGGAACACAGTTATACTGACATTACTGCTTGGCGGCAGAAATAGGTAACCCTGGACGAACTCTTTCACAAGGATCTCTACTGCTTCTAAAACATATAAACATAGTGTATTAACTAATTCAATGGGTTACATTATTTTAAATAGGTAACTTGAAATTTGTGTATGCGCACTTGACCTCTATCTCACCCGGTGGAAAATGACGATGAGCTCGACAACGTAGCATTCACACCTAAACAATGTCTATTCATTCTCGCCTTAATAAGGCCCAAGTTAGAACGTTAACTCTATAGTAATATAAATATGGAAGCGTAATGTTTCGTGAGAATCCTTGAAATATGCACTACATAGGGGTGGAACCCAAGCCTACGTCTAGTCCCCCGATGATGGAAAGGGGAAGGCAGAATTTAATAGTGCAATTCTAAAGTATACTCTCCGTGATCCTGTAGACTATGTACGCACCTTATAATATCAAATTATAATAGGTATGCACCTTACCTTTTAAATGTGTTGGACTAAATACGAAAATTCAATTAGTCAAAATGGTGTAGACACTACGTGAAAAATCCACTCCGAATGGGCCACTGTCACTTGTCCGTCACTGCTGTAAAACCTACAATATGATTCAGACGCCTGCGCAGTACGAAGCGACTATAGACATTATGACAGTATTTTTGCCTTTATATGAAAATGATATACAATCGATAAAGATACTCATAGTCGGATTTACGTCAGACTGAAAATGACGGCGAACTTGAAATCAATTGTGCGGCCGCCTGTACATGTCGCCTCGGTTTTTACAGAGGAAAACTTTACGAATGATAATTAAATCTATGTTGAGCAAGAGAGCTGTGAATCCAAAGGGCACTTGAGAAGAGTAGAGATCCACAACGCTGATTGTATAATATACAGTATTTTTTTAACTGGGTCAATATGTGGAAATCCGAAATCATAGAAGATACAGTGAAACTGTCTTAGGAACATTAATTTTTTTTTTATTAGCAGCTTATATGTTTTGATAAAGTGACGGGACGAACAATTCGTGCGCTTGGTGGTAAGCGACACGCCTGTCCATAACAGTTGCAATACCACTCAGAGCTTTGAGTAATAAAGATCCGAGGGGCCACTATGCCCGTCATCCTGAGACATAAGTTGACAAGTCCCTATAATTTCACCAGACCCTTACCCTTCGAAATCGGAACGCAGTAATGCTTGGCGACAGAAATAGACAAGGTGGCAGTACTTCCCTGGCTCAGATTACAAAGCAATAAGCAGATGGAGCATACGCAACAAACGAAGTGAAGCCGGTTTTCATTTATTGTGTGCGTGACAACTGGGAAGGGCACTGTAGGGACATGCATTTGTGTGCGTGTAAGATTGCCAGATGCAGCGAAAAATGTCTCGCATTTTTTTCTGTTGCTTTCTAGAATATTAATGTTACAAACTGATATGTTATTTTGCAATATAGGTATTTAAGTTTTATTAGGATATCAAACAAATTACATATATGAAATATAAGTTAATATTTAATTGTTATTATTTGATTTTCATCACACAAAGGAGAGAATATTTTATTAAGATATTTTAAAATTGGAAAACTTTAATAGTTCAAAATATTTATTAGAATCACAGTTACTATATAATCTTTATTTTGTACACATTTGTTTATATTTTTTTGTATAGGGTATAGTACTACCGTTTCGCGTCTACACATCTAGCATTCGTTTCTAATTTTGATAAGTAACGCAATCTCACCATTAAATACTTTTCTATTAAATTTTTTATTAATAAATTAACTTTGTAATCAATTTCATAGCACTGACATCATTTTCTAGTTTGATAAAACTTGTTTGGTTCCCAATGAAACTAAAGAATCTATAAAGTCATGTACATACCATAATTATTTTTTTATTTTATTGACACGTTTTCTTACAAAATCACTCTGTTTATGATATATGCACACTACAATGAAAGTTCTCTGTATGCATATACCTAAAATTTTACCTGTTTTTGAACATTTTCTTTTATATAGTTACATTATGGCGATAAGACATTGGTTTGAGAACAATTTAGGTAAATCTGACTTACCTAAAAACAATTTTGGGCCGCTGTAATTGGACCATTTTATGTGTATATGCATGCATTATTTAATGTTTACACAAAAGTAAAAATTATTCGATGCTCACACACATACGAATTGTATTCGCTTTTTGGTTTGGTGGCTTCACTTTCGTGTTCGGCCCGCTCCATCAGACTATTGTTTTGTAATCTGAGGTCCCTGGACGAACTCTTTCACAAGGAGCGCTACTTGTACTAAAATTATGAACGTTGGGAGTGTTATTATGTTTGTAATTATATATATATATATATGTAACAATACCGAGTCATTATTTCTCACGGCCTCACATTATGCATGATTCTACGTACAATGCAAAAAGGGTTTAGTGCTTTCGGTCTTGCAGAATATTAGCCACATTTTATTTACATTGAGTCATACGAAAATGGACCATCTAAGCTGAAACGATTTAATTCAAGATCGAGGAATAGTTGAATGTAAATATTTCTGCAATTAGAATGCGAGACAGCTATGGTCGTTTACAGTTTTAATTAACTTGGACATTAGAAGTGCAGCTCTAAATGAGCAAGAGTAGCTAACTTAGCGAGAGATGCATCCATAATCATTGCTGGCACCACAGAATCTTACGATATTCACTGTATAGTTGGCAGAAACACCAATCTAAAGTGGGACTTATGACGTCAATAATATTTGATTAGAATATGCTCTGGGCGCGTATCATCCCTCTCGACTTCGTTTTTTTGACAACCCTAGAACCATTGCGATATTATGACTCACACTGTGCTTTGTGTGAAATTGATTCACACAAAGCACTGTGTTCTTTTTTGACAACCCTAGCACCTTTTCTATATTGTAACTCAGTCAGTGCTTTGTGTGAATTTGATTCATAAAAACCACTGCGTTTTCTTTGACAACTCTAGCACCTTTGCGATATTATGAGTCACGCAGTGCTTTGTGTGAAATTGATTCACACAGTGCTTTGTGTGAAATTGATTCTCACAAAGCACTATGTGACTCAGAAAAATTATGAAACAACAAATTATTTGACCGTTTGGCCAAGTAAACGCGCCAAACTTTAAACAATGGAATTAATTCTTGCGATAAACGTACGACGGGTTGATTATCAAGACTGTGTAGTGTCGTGTGTAGTGTGAGTATGTCATTTAAATAACTGTTTGACATGTACGCATATGCCTCAACTTGAGTCCGACAGGAACACGAGTAAATTGGAAGTAACGGATCTGCTCGCTTTCAATTATTATATTATGTATGTATTTGTAGATCAGCAGGGGCCCCCAAATTTGCACATACAGGTACTGAATTTCGATTGTCATAGCTACTGGGAATAAGCGAAAGTTCAGTAAAAGAAAAAATTAATGCGCGCTCGTCGTAATTGAGTAGATATAATGTGCGATTTCGCGGGAATACAAATTTGCGGTTGCAAATTGTTATACTCGAAGTGCAATCACGTAGAATAATAATGTTATGGACACGAATTGCACGTGTACAATTGAGCAGAGTATGCGACTTGCTTAAACAGTTTAAACACGATTAGATTGAAGATGCAACAAAATCGAATCTCGCTTGCGAGTAAATTATATTACTTACGCACTTTCATTATAGTACAGTGCAATTATTCTAATGGCCACTTTGCTTTGCCAAAATTGTAAGGCGTTTTTATTATTGTCAACATTGGCTCCTACTTGACGGACTGCATGTGTGCAGTAAACACGGTCAACTGTAAATGTAGTCATGATTAACCACTTGCAGTCGTGGTTTAAACTGCGTGCAGTTGAGATTTCGATAATCGATAATCCGAGAATCGAAAGTTGCAATTGACATTCGTATATTGTTTATCTTCATCTTCATCTTGGATACATTATATAAAAATCGTCCACAATATATATATAGCAACTAATCGTTCATGCCATTATTGTTACAAAATGTAGAATGTAATGTTTCAAAATAATATCAAAACGAGTTGACCTCTGTAGAA